TGGAAATTGTTCCTGTGTGTGTGTTACAGTTAGTGTGCTCCACACTCTTCCAGTATACCAGACAGTGTGGATCATGTTGAATAAAAAGGACCCAGGTTAACAGACTAACACACAGGACAAATGTGCACTTTTTATACAAAAAATGGAGTTTTTCTTCCTGGGGATTCTAGGGCGCTGTCTGCACTTCGGGGAGCCTGTGTCAAGTTCACCACCCAAAGGGGTGTTAATTCTGTGAGTTATTTATTCTCTTCTGTGTTCAGGAGGAGGGACCAGTGCTTGTCCTCCCTCACCTGATGCCCTTGCATTGCATGCACAGGTACCGCCATCCACGTGTGGACTCAGACTGTCCCGAGTCCCTGGGCAGACAGTTATTTATTAACCTTGTGGTGGGGCAAGTGTGGACACCCCAGTTGTGTACCATTACAGCAACAAAATTCCGATGACTCCGAGTTGAAGGACCTTTTTCTCTACCGTACGAACCGACAGAAATGAAGCCTTGATCCAGGGAAGGGAGCTGGACTCAGTGGATACTGAACGTGTTATTTGCCAGGTGACTTTGTGTTCAATTCACCGCGTTCTTCCTCTCCCCCAGCATCACTTGCTGACAGTGGTCCAGCTTTGACACCGTGAGGGAGTTTTCGCAGTGTGGCTCTCGGGAAGGTACCGTTAGGTATGGAAGGCTCAGTGTGCTCACGAGCTAAGTGGCACACAGGCTCAAGATTGTAAGTCAGACTACTTCCACATACTACCTCTCCTCTCTCTCTCTCTGTCTCTCTCTTTTTTTTTAACAGAGTTTTAACATTAGAAGTTTTCTCTTGGGGAAAATACTTCAGGGCTTGACTTTTGTACAAATTTTAACTGTAAAACACAGATTTATCTTCCGTCTGAAAATGGAGATCAAGGCTGCTGGCGCTTATTTTAATTTAAAGGACAGTAGTGTTTGCACCAAGGTCTTACTGGTGCAGTAAGTGATCGCAGACATTCTGTGAGGCCAGGGAGCCTTGGTTGTGGGGGTCCAGTCCCGTTGGCTTGTTCTTAATGCCCCTTATAATAAGAGTGTGAGCGTTAGCAGCTCAGCGTGCAGTTCCGTTGTCCTGAATGTCGAGCCTCACTGTGAATTCTGTTCTGTCCTCAGTCAACTATGTCAACATGATGCTGTGCTGTTGTGAACCATGAATTTTCTAATTAAATTTTACATGCTATAACATGATTTTTACATGAATGATACTTTGTTTAAACTATCAAATGTCAGTATTTTACTACAATTTTATTATAAAATGTACATTATCACTAAATGAACTTTGATTTTAAAAATCAAGTTAGCTTTAGTTACATATTATTTTTTACAAATAAAGACGGACTTGTATAAAGGCTACTTTCTTGTTTGAAATTATATGAAAAGAGTACTTAAGAATATTTATCAAGCATTCATTAGGTACACAGGCTCAAGATTGTAAGAAAGACCACAGACGGAGACTGAGTCGCAGCTGGTTTATTGACTTCCTTTTCCAGTGCTAAGGGCCGAGCACGTGGCCTCACAGTGACCACGTCCCCACCCTGAGCCACATACCAAACATCTGTTTTGTTTTTGTATTTTGGACAGGTCTCACCCAACAGTCCAGGCTGGTCTCAGACTCCAGCACTCGGTCTCCCATAACAGGGATTACAGGCACATGCCATTGTACCCGGTCCCTGGGGTTACTAGTTTCTTTTTTTTTTTTTAATTTTAGGCCAGGTATAGTGACATGCCTTTCTTTAATCCCAGCACTCAGGAGGCAGAGGCAGTTGGATCTCTGATTCAACTCTAGACCATTCGTAATTTAGATAAGGTATTTTGTGTATGAGCACACACGTGTCTTTGTGTGTGAGCCACAGCTTGCTTGTGAAGGTCAGAGGACAACTTATAGGAGTTGGTTCTCTCTGCCGTGTGAGGGAAGGGCTCCTCACGTAGCCCAGGTTAGCCTGAAACTCATACCCCTGCCTCTGCCAGCTATGCACTGGGTCCTCAGAGGCCAGTGCCCCGATGTCAAAAGGTACAGTTTGGTTTCCTCTTTTGAATTTTTGTTACTCGATTTCAGTTTTTTTTTATCTTGGCAGTTGTTTTGGGAAAGTTTCCTGTAGCCCCTGGCTGGCCTTGAACTCGTGAATCTAGCTTTTGACGCTCCTTCCTCCACTCCCAGGTGTCGGCATTACAGGCATGCACCACCAGCCTTTTGGTTTGGGCCTGGAACTTGATATGTGACCAGGCTGGCCTTGAACTCGCTGAGACCCACCTGCCTCTTCCTGAGTGCTGGGATTAAAATCATGAGTCATCACATATGGCCTCTTGGTTTTTTTGAGATCTCGCTATGTAGCCGAGGTTGATCTCAGACTCAGCATTGTCCTGTCTCAGGCTCCCAAGAAGCTGGGGTTGGTTTGCAGGTAAGTGTATCTATCCTTTCTTTTGTGAGGAGGGGTGGGTGGGCCACAGCAAGTGTATAGAGTCAAAGGATAGCTCTCAGGAATACGTCCACTCCTGCGACACGCGTTCCCAGGATCCGTGGTCTCAGCAGCAAGCACTGTTACCACCAAGCCGGTGTGAATATTGCGAAGGCCGTATGAATACTCTTGAGTGCTGCTTGTGGGTGAGTTTCTAGCCCTGGTGATTATTTCCTACGGCCCTGGACTGTGTGCGAGCAGTCATGGGCATGCACCAAGAGGCTGTTTTGGAGGTGAGTTAGTCTCAAGGCCAGTGAGATTTCTTGGCCTGTGGAACTGAATGGCTGAGACTAGGGTTTCTGTTTTTTAAAGTTTGCGTATATATGTGCCTGCCTCTGCCTCCCCAGTGCTGAGGTTAAAGGCGTGCGCCACTGCTGCCCAGCTTTAAATTATGTTTGTGAACGTGGGTGTGCATGGGCACTCCGGAGTGACAACTTGAGACCCCTCTCATGGGCCCTGAGGCTCCATGGCGGAGCTGTCACACACACACACACACACACACACACACACACACACACACACACCCATGGTCCCCATGGTGAGGCTTCCTGATGCTGTTAGGATAGCCCCTTATTTCCAGATTACATGTGGAGTGGCCTAGGCTGCTGTGACACCTGCCTGTTTAAGATGTAGACAGTGGAGACTGGAGAGGATTCCCAGCACCCACATAGCTGTTATAACTACCTAACTCCAGTTCCAGGGGCTCTGACGCCCTCTTCTGACCTCCTCAGGGACCAGGCATGAACATTGTGTACATAGGCACACAAACAAGCAAAACACTTATACCCAGAAAAATTTAAAAATTTTGGTAGCACATGCCCTTAAACCCAGCACTCAGGAGGCAGAGGCAGGCAGAGCACAATGGTTCCAGGCCAGCCAGGGCTGCCCAGCAAGACTCTGTCTTTAAAAAAAAGGTAGATAGTGCAGCCGAGAGAAGATGTCCACCATTGTGTTAACCGGTTTAAGACATGGATGGTTGGCAGACTCAGTAGCACAGGCCTGTCATTCCAGCGACTGGGGTAGGCTGAGGCAGGAGGATGGCAAGTGTCAAGGCCAACCTGGACAACTTAGGCCCCATCTCAAAAGTGAACAGGGCTGGGATGTCAGTAGTAGAGAGCTGGAGAGCTGGCGCCCTGGTTAAGAGCAACGGCTGCTTTCAGAGGGCTCAGGACTGGATTCCAGCACCCATGTCTGGTGGCTCAGAACAGCCTGTAACTACAGATCCAGGGACCCAGCGCCCTCTTCCAGCCTTTGTGGGCACCCACACCCATGTGACATTCACTCAGGGACACAAATCCCACACGTAACAAACCGCTCTGCAGTGGTAGGAGTGTATAATGCCAATAGTTTTCTTGCTGGTTCAAATGCCCTGGAGCTAGAGTGAGACAGGGTGGATGGGGCTGAAAAATGGGGGCCCCAAAGCAGAGGTTCAGCATCTCAAGAGATACCATCTGGGTATGTGTAGGCAGGCCCAAGGCTGTCTGCACTTCCAACTTTTGGGGGATTCCAGAAACCTACAGATTCATATGAAACATTCTGGTCTTCTGCAAGAGCAGCCAGTGCTCTTAGCCACTGAACCATCTCTTCAGGCTGCCTTACTTTTTATTTACTCTTAAATTTTATTTCATATGTACGAGTGTTTTTCCTGCACATATGTTTGTGCACCACGTGCATGCCTCATGCCCACAGAGATCAGAAAAGTGCCTTGGGTCCCGCCCGGGGAACTGGATGGAGTTTCAGATGATTATGAGCCGCCATACGCGTGCTGGAGCTGAGCCCGGGTCCTCTGCAAGAACAGCCAGCACTCCTAATTACTGAGCCACCTCTCCAGCCCCCATTAATTTTTTAAGCTAGCCTTCAAAGTAATGAGTAGGATTTTCAAGCGTATGTGTTTATGTGTGCTGTCTGTATGAGCTTAGAGCCAGTGTCTGTAGAGGTCAGAGGACGACGTTCAGGAGTCCATTCTCTCTTTCCATTGCTCAGCAAGCATTTTTACCACAGAGCCTTCTCGCTGGCCCAGTTTGATTTTTTTCTTGAAATGGGGTCTTACTGGGTAGCACTGGCTCTTCTGGAGTGTACAGTGCAGATCAGAGGCTCCAACCTGAGTGCTGGGATTGTAGGTTTGAGCACTGTGCCTCCTCTGTTCTTGGATGTTAGGACAGGGTTTCCTGCAATCTAGGC